TACGGATTATTTCATACTCCCTCTGTTCCATAAAACTTGACCAACTTTTATGGGACATGGGTAGTATTAGATAGAGAAATGATTCCTAACATACAAAAAATTAAGAATAGTGGATAAAAATATAACTTATTATAAACATTGAATATAATTATGCTTAAAATAAGATCAAAACACCTTGCGTGTTCTTCTATCTATTTTGCACTCCTTAACTATGCAACTCACGCGTGCCATCTTTACCAATACAGCCAAAAAAGTAACTCAAATCTTACTTTTTCTTAGTATTACGTACACAATTCAGTGCGTGAAATCAAATAATACGTGAAAATAATGATAATCTTAAAAAATCACATTTCATTAAAAATATAAATAGACTTGAATTTGAATTTGGTTATTATTGTGGACTTTCAATTTTGTACATACAAGTTAGATAGACTTACGAAAGAGTTTCAGGTGGTTCATAATCAAGCATCTCGAAGAATATTTGAACAAAAAGATACACATCTCTTACTAAGTTACTATGTAATGAACCATGAAAGAAGCACTGTAGTAGATTACCAGCTAGAAGAAGAAGCCAAATCAAACTGAATTTAGAAACATCAAGATAAACTTGCGATTCAATATTCACACTATTCATAATAATGAGTGGGAGAATTTCTCTCTCATATATAGTACATTTAGGTATAAGGTAAGCCGACTAACAATTGAGCGGGAGAATTTTCTCTCTCTTATATGTAGTTGTTTTAGATATAAGATAAGGGCAAAATATATCGTACAAACCAGTTGTAACGACCACATGGAACAACCGGGTATTTTATGTAAAAATAAACAGAAATTGCCCTAAGTAGGAGTAAAAACGTTTTAAAATTCCAAAACAAGACTATCATGTTTTTTATTCCCGGAATAGGAGTAATTTGCCATGTTTGGAAAAAATGCCATGTTTAAAGCCTATTAATGCCAAACTTGGCATAAAATTACTCCTATTCGGGGAATAAAAAACATGATAGTGCTATTTTGGAATTTCAAAACGTTTTTACTCCTATTTTGGGAATTCTGTCTAAAACAAATGAGTATAAAATTTAAAAAGAAATGAATCATGATATTAACTTAAATTATAAAATCAGCACAATAAATATTTTGATGATAATGCAATGATAATATAGTTAAATCAATAAGTTTATTTGTACCATATATATTACATGCTTCTAATTCTCAATTGTGCTACATACCAATACAATGATTTAACACCAATACTCATTTCTTTTCAACGTTATAAGATCATTAAGCATAACATGAAATACATGGTTGCACGATGAACACTGTAGAACCGAGTGTGCAGTGTAGCTCTCATAAGATTTTTACGAGAAACAAACTAATAATTGAGTGGAATAATTTTTCTTATATGTAATGCTTTTAGGTACTTCGTATAAGATACAATAAGATGACTAATAATTGAGTAGGATAACTTTCTTTCTCATATATAGTACTTTTAGGTGGTATAAGTGGACTGATAACTAAATGGAAGAATTTCCTCTCACATATGTAGTGTTTTTAGGTAAACAAGCAGACTAATAATTGAGTGAGAATTTTTTTCTCTCATATGTAGTGCTTTTAAGTATAAGATAAACATATTAATAATAGAGCGGGAAAGTTTTATCTCTCATATGAAAGATCATAAAAAATCCGTTTTATCATAGGGTAAACGGATTAATAATCGAGCGGAATAATTTTCTCTCATATGTAGGACTTTTTGGTATAAGATAGACAAACTTATAATTGAGCGGAAAATTTTTTCTCTCATCTATAGTGCTTTTAAGTATAAGAAGATGGACGGACTAACAATTGAGTTGAAAATTATCTCTTTCATACATAGTGCTTTTAGATATAAGAAGATAAGCGGACTAATAGTAAAGCGTAAATTATTTTTGTCTTATATATTGTGCTTTTAGGTATATGATGATAAGCGAAATAATAATTGTGCCGGGGATTTTTTCCTCTCATATGTAGTTTTTTAGGTATAAGATAAGTGGACTAATAATTGAGTTTGTAAATTTCTATGTCATATGGTGTGCTTTTAGGTATATGATGATGATGATGATAAGCGGAATAATAAATGAGCGGGAGATTTTTCCTCCCATATGTAGTGCTTTAATTATAAGCTAAGATAAACTGATTAATAATTGAGTGGGGGAATTTTCTCTCTCATACGCAATGTCCTTAGGTGTAAAAAGATGAGTAGACTAATAGTTGAGCAGATGAATTTTCTCTCTAATATGTAGTGTTGTTAGATATGTAGTATAAGATAAGCTGACTACTGATTAAGCGGGAGAATTGTCTTTCTCACATGTAGTATTTTTAGGTTTAAGATAAGTGGACTAATAATTAAGCCATTTGAGCGAGATTATTTTCTCTCTCATATGTAGCCTTTTAAGTATAAGAAGATATATATATATATATATATATATATATATATATATATATAGAATATATATATACAAAAAAGATCAGGTCCAGCCCTTCCCGGTCCAGCCGCCGTACGAACTCCGCCGTTTGGGGCGGTTCCCGGTGGAATTTTTTGATGAAATTTTTTGAGCATGTTCTTCATCAAGTCTAGTTTGTCCATACCAAATTTCAGCTCAAAATTCGACCGGGAAGGCATTCAAATCATTTTTTGAAGTTGACTGCATTTTTATATGTATATTTTGGCGCAGTCAACTTCAAAAAATGATTTGAATGCCTTCCCGGTCGAATTTTGAGCTGAAATTTGGTATGAACAATCTAGACTTGATGAAGAACATGCTCAAACAATTTCATCAAAAAATTCCACCGGGAACCGCCCCAAACGGCGGAGTTCGGACGGCGCCTCCCGTCCCTCCGGCTGGACCTGATCACTTCTCTCTCTCTCTCTCTCTCTCTCTCTCTCTCTCTCTCTCTCTATATATATATATATATATATATATATATATATATATATATATATATATACACAAAAAAAATAAGGGGACTAATAATTGAGCGGGGGAATTTTTCTCTCATATGTAATTCTCTTAGGATTTTCCATCATTTGCAATGGAGCCAAAGACTCACTATTTTTTTGCTTGAAAGTATGATGAAATAAAGCAAAATGGCTCACTAAATTGTCTGCGCTTCTTTGTTATGAAGCTGCAGTCAGTCACTCAGTCCATGCATTCTGGACGCGATTTTCACTATGGATCATCCGGAAACAGTCTCTCTGTGCTTTAGTACAGGGGTAAGGCTGCGTACACCCGACCCCCCCCCCCCCCCCCCTTATTCCACCGTAGGTGGGAGCCTTTGCGGCACTGGGGTAATGATGATGAATGATAATGATGATGATGTAATTCTCTTAGGTATAAGAAGATAATGGAAGTAATAATTGAATGAGAGTATTTTGCTACAAAGTACGAAGAGGATTTTACTTTAATTTTCTTTTACTTTGAATATCTTTGTATGGATTTATACTTTATTCACTTATAAAGCATAGTTTAGATCAAACCAGGACAGACCAGACCAGCAAATTACCGTCTAAGTAAAAGCATCCTTACTTCATGCCACATGACATTAAAGCAAATATGAAATGATAAAAATTGAAAACATATAGAAAAAATAAATAGAAAAGTTAAAAATGGCAGATCTATAATTAATAGTTTCATATTGTTCTTTTGAATTATATGTTTCTTCTATATTCATTTTAATAATTGCACAGTTTAAATGTATATTTTTACATTTTTGATTTTATATTTTGATTTTCAGTTATAGATGAGATAGTTTCTAGGCGATTAAGATAAATAGAATGAGCTAGCTAGCCTATAAGAGACAAAGAGAATATTGTTACTTATAGAGTTAGAGCCCGTTTGGTAGCACCAAAATTGGCTGTTTTGGCTGATTCTGCTGAAATTTATGATATTTTGGCTGAAGTGGCTGTTTTGGCTGATTCTGCTGATTTAAGAAAAAAATATTTTAAAAATATATTTTATTAATAAAATAAAGAAAAAATTATATGTAAAAATAGCTAAAATGGTCATCTACAGTAACTTCAGCCAATACAGCCAGAAAAGTAACTCCAACCTTACTTTTTCGGCTTATTACACAATTCAGCGCGCGAAAGTAAAAATTACGTGTTTGGTGAAAAAGCTGGCTGATAAGCCTGATAAGCCGAAAACAGAGGTCTCCAAACGGGCACTTATAGTACTATGTTTTAGAGATTGTTTACTTTCGAATTAATAAACTTATAACACTGACGTAATTGAAAACACGACTTAATCATTCAATCAGAAAATTGACTTAATCATTAAACCGAAATATAATACTCCTTCCCATTAAGATGTGCATTAAGATTTTCTGATAATTTTTAAAATTGATTATGGAATAAATTTATGTTAATCCAAAGAGAAATTTTAATATAAGCAGACATATTAATCCAGATAAGACTTGATAGAAAAAAAGAGTATACAAACCCTTAACTTTCTTTTAAAAAGTCGAGTACATTTTTTTTACGTTTTGCACATAATTTGCATTGCGCTATCATTGTACACTACAATATCACACAATTATCACTTATTGATTTATAGAATTATCCCATTTTTACTATGGTTGACAATTTGTTATCAGTTTATTACTATATTACATTTTTATATTATAAATTATTAATAATTATTTTGAAAAATATTTCATACCGTGCATCGCACGGGTGTTATACTAGTTTTTAAAATTCTATGTTGCAATACTTTATTTTATTAGAGTCACGTTGGCATTACTAAAATTAACTGAATCGGCTAAATCTCGTGAAAAATCTTACTGAGTTGGCTGAATCTCGTGAAAAATCTTACTGAGTTGGCTGAATCTGTTGAATTTTGATGAATTTATACCGGAATATAAAAATATATTTTATTGATAAAATAAAGGAAAAATATATGAAAATAGTTAAAATTACTAGTGGAAGTGGAAGAACTCGTATAAGAAGTGGAAGTGGAAGTGGAAGAACTCGTATAAGAAAAGTATTATCACATAATTGAACCAAACCAAACATTACAGAAGTGGAAGAACTCGTATAAGATGTTAAAGAGTAGCAATTAGAGTGTGAGATCTTCAAGCACTTCAGTAGCTATGAAGAAAGAGAAGTTTCAAAAAGAGAGAATTATAAAAAATATAGCATGTAAAAAGTACAGGCAGAAAAAAGAATAAAGAACAGAAGTGCAAGATGGAAATAATATCAGCTGAGGTATCTGCAAACAAGAAGTTCAAGTGCGGAGATTTTGTGTGTGAAACTTCTCTAGTAAGTGTCAGCCATCTTAGCCATGCGATGGATGGTACTTCTAGCAAGTCTATTACCAGGATCGAGTTTCATAACAGTTCTCAAGTCTTCAGCTCCAAGTTTGTACTTCTCCATATTTTCATACAGCAGGGCTCTCTGTACAAGGATAGCTACATTTGTTTCATCATGTTCTAGCACCTGCGCACCATTACACAGATGTCAACCAATTTAAAACTATAGTGAAGGCATGAGATCTTAGAACACTGCTGCAGCTAGAAATACCCAATGGCAATGAACTGTTTTAACAATGAAAACCTGAACATACAGTTTCCAGGGTCAGCACATTCCTTGCTACTATTCTTGTGAGGCAGAAAATGTTTGCATCCATAAGATATTAGATATACTGTGTACTCATAGCCTCATATGGTATTTGCCATGTGGGTGAGAGATGTGATCCCATTCCCAAAGTCAGTGCCACATAGAATAGAGCATGCTAATTAAACTCATAAATCATGAGAAAAAATGAATGGATTTCAGTGAGAAAATCTCAATGGTGTTTAACAAATTAAGTGAGTTAGATAATGAGACTATCTACAATTCCAGATGTGAGTGTAAGCATGAAAACTGAAAGAAAAAAAAAGCTTATTTAGAAGGAAAGCCAATGGGGTGATGCTTTTATCAGCCTAATACTTTTATTAAATTCATCATTTGGAAGATCTAGCATTGAATTAAATTATAAATATTTTATACTTGTGTAAGATATGATATTATGAAAAACAGCAAACATAGAGAAGGGCATACACGAGACTCGTACCTTTGTACAGTCAGCCACAGCCTTCTTGTACTCTCCTACTTCTTTGTAACAGGAAGCCCTGCACGACAACACCTCTTCAGCAGCACTACCAGCTACATCGCCGGAATTCTGTAGAAGAATGAATGCCCATGATAGCCATTTTATAGCATCAGCAAATTGTCCTTGCTTGTAATTATCCATCCCCTTACTCTTTGCAGTTGAAGCACTGAGGCCAGCAGGTGGTGGTGGAAGCCCTTCAAGTTCCGTTGTCCCACCATTATCATTTCCTCCAAACTCAGGTTCGAAACCCCAATCATCACCCCCTGAAAATTGTTGGCTTTCCCCAACAGGTCCCTCAACCGACTTAGTAGATGACTGGAAAAGTGAATCCAAATCCACACCACCTGAAGGTGGTTGGGCATATGGCTGACTCTGAGTATTAGTAAATCCAAAATCATCAACCTTTGGATGAGAAGTCCTTGAAGGAGCTGAAGCAGTGTTACTGGTGGGGAAAGTACTTGAGGAAAATGACGATCCAGACTTTGATACATTTTGAAAATCTCCAAATACATCATCATCCACACGACTTCCCGAGCTCATGCTGGCAGTTGGTTTAGACCTAAAATCAACCAAAGTGCTAAATGGATCCTTCTTTGAACCAATTCCACCTATGCCCCCAACCGTACTACTACCCATTAGTGGCCCTCCAACCCCAGAACTTTTAATATTTGCACCACTCGCATTCATATTGCCGCTACTAATAGTAGTATTAAAACTACCTCCTCCACGGTTAGAACTTTCGGAGCTCTGGTTAGATCCCCAAAGTCCACTGCTCTTCATAGAGCTACTTTTCGGCAAGGAATCTGCCATACCCCCCATTGAAAATGAACTTTTATTTAAGGATGAGGCAGAACTTTTCAGAGGGACATTGCTACCGCCCTTATTTTGACCAAGGGCAGAGTTCACCAAATCACCAAACAAATTAGGATCCTTGTTCACCACACCTACAGTAGAAGAAGAAACATTGGCAACATTTGTAGGGAGCGAGGACCCCCAACTTCTCCCAAAGATATCCCCAACCAAGGACGAAGGTCCTGTCAATGATCCAGCCGGTTGGTGAGTCCAGGATGCCTTGTTATTGTTGGATTGGTGCGTCCAAGATGCCGCCGCATACGGCTTTGACTGCGCAGAAGACGCTTGGTTCTTCTGGTCATTGAGAGATCGGGAACGCCCAGCGCCCAGCCCGAAATCCAAATCGAAATTGTTCATAGAGCCCGACTTCATATTTGACTTCCCATAATTGGAATTCATTTGTTAATCTAATAACCTTTCTTCCTAAAACGAAATAAAAAGGATACAATTGAATGCAATTACGAGAATCGATATCTAAATACGCACAAATGCGTGTGGCTCTGTATCTGAATATAAACCGTGAAGAAATTCCAGATCTGGAAATGAACGACAAAGTACCTGTGATGAGACGTGGATCAAATTACAGAAGAAAGCACGACGTTAATGGATTTATCCGATAGCTGGTGCACTGTAAACACCCGCCGGAGAGAAACATAGACGAACAATGGCGTCCGGGGCCTGGATGTACTTATGAGACCTCGGGGTGATAAAGAAGAGGACCGTTTACCGAAAGAGAGTGGAGTCTCCGTCTTTAATTTTTGAGGGAAATTTACTACCAGTTGCCGATAGCCTGGCGGATTGTCTTAGCTTTTTGACTGCTCCGTGCCCAAATCGTTATTACTCCATATTATTCTGGTAGTGTTTTGTTTTTGGGATATTTTTTTAAAACCCTATCACTAATTTAATCATTAGTTACCTTAAAAAAATTAATCATTGATTTGTTGATCTTGCTAATCCAAAGAAAAAACAATTAAAAGATTCAGTTGACCAAAGAACTTAAATTTGACTAATAATCAACCAAAGAAACTATACTCCGTAGAAATTATTTGAATCATCGGTTTGACCAACTAACAAAAACGAGATTCAGTTGAACACTATTTTTCTCTAAGAGTAAGACGTTGATTCAAGCGGTGAGCGGATAATTGAGACATAAAAAAAAAATAGATCCAACCAGTCTTGTCAATTATGAACGGTGAATATTCACCCTCCTATCAATTACACCGCCAAGGAATACACCTCTCAACATTGCTAGGAGAAGAATGTATCTCACGCTCACCTGATGCGGACAAAACTCTTAATCAAATAAGAAGTTAGACCAAAATCATATGTTGGAGGGTAGAAATCAAATAAAAAGGAAAGCATATGAATATGTTAATGGTGGCTGCCAAACATCACTCTAAGATAATTGACTTAGGATTTCATCCTAAAAGGGCAATCTGATAGGAGGAGTAATTAAAACCTTATACGGAGTATGATGTTTTATTCTTTTAATGCTTTTCGGTGTGGGACAAATACCTAATGCATGCGCTCCCTCAACCTGAATCGGGCTGGACAATATCGGGGGCGTATAAATGGGTCAAACAGACCATTAACAAGCTACCCTTAATCATGTGTGCTAAACAAGTAGTCAAATCACAATTGTCTCTAATACGGAGTACTATGTTAAGACATGTGATTCCGTCCTAAAAAAAAGTGTTCAAATCATGACATTTGGTTAATTTGAAAAAAGGTGAAGTAGCCCAAAGTCTTATATAATGTTTTATTCTTTTGTAGTTTTCCGGTGTTGGACAAATACTTAATACTCTCGACCAATAAAAGTATGATAACAATATACAACAACAACCAAGCTTTAGTCCCAAACGAATATAATATGACTAAATTTCACTTGGACAAAAAATAACTCAAATTGTGTAAATTGACCTTAATGTCCGTCAAGCCCTAATCTACCAAGTCCAACCTCATGTTGCACTCGAAGACTCAACATCCAAGCTTCTCATATCCCTCCTGTGACAATCGCACCGACAAAGAAAACAACAACCTCTCGCGACGACGGTGACAAAGGTGACGCTGACCATCACCGCCTCTAATGCTCTAGCCTTTGTCATCGCCGCAACATATCAAACGATTAATCACAATAGTACATGTTACATATTTGACAAGTAAACAATTGGATAAAAATTAACCGAACAATGAATTCATTTTGAAAAAATATCAAATAGAACGAGTATAATTGTATGCATACGCTTCTGATTGTGAGACATATAATTTGTATTGTGGTTTATCTAGCATGCACACAGAAATTTATGACACAAACATCTTTTATTTATATTTGAACCACACTATAATGTAACATCGTCTCCAAGTATATTTACTTTTATGTAAATTATGCATTGAACCTTGAGAAATGGTTAATAAATTTACGAAGTTGTAAATTTTTGTTATTACTTTTGTGTGAATAGTAAATTGCACGTGGGGTCCACACCGGGAACGGGGACAACCCGATACTTCTGGGGACCACATATTATATTTATCTTGGTCTAGATAATACGTATATGGCGGTGAATATTCTAGTTGGGCCATAGAAAAGACATAAAGTTGACCGATTGCGGGTGAGAAAATTGTGGTCTACTTAATCTTGTATGATTAGGTGAGAAAATTGTGAAAATTTTGGGAATATTGTGGTTAAGTGATTAAAACAGTATGTAGTCTACATCTTTCATTTGCGGGTGACGTCACTTGATCATACGACGGTTGTACACGCACTTAGATACGTTATATGACGTAACATATAAGATGAAATTTTGATGAAAACATACTTTGCATAAAAATAGGAATGACACACTCTGTTTTTTATTCAATATGATGGTTATTTATATTTGAATTATTGCATTTCTGTGGAGATTGATTCCCGCACTTTTGAGGAAATCTTGATAAACCATATTTGATAGATTCAATCATTTATAATGTAAATGAAATTACCTCTCGTCGTCAACATGTTATTATATATTACATCTATTCCGAAAAGAAATTATCACCTTTTTGTGGATTTCCAAAAAGAATTCATCTTTATACAAAAAGGAAAGCAAAATTCACAATTACTCTTACTTTTTGTGTACTTTTGCTTGATTTGACGTAGAACATGAATATATTTGAAAAGTGAAACATCATTTTTCTTATATAAATATGTATGTTGATCAAACCGTGAACTTCATTTTGAGACGAAGAAAGTATTTTGCATTAGCGCCACCACATATATTACTTCAAAAATCACTTTATAGTCATTCCATGTCTTCTTCACATAACCTAAAAGAGAGCGATAGAAATTAAAAACATTTCCTAACAAATTAAACAACAACATTTCTCACACAATCCCACCCTAATTGAACTAACTAGTAGCGAGTGGAATAATGAGACAGTAATCTCACAGATACGCCACATATGTTCATTGAAGTCGAAAGATACTCAAATTGGAGCAAGTTGTGCTACAGTACTTTCAAGTATCTCATTTAATATGCCTTACTTGAGTTTAACACAATTAGAGCCCATTTGACAACCCAGATTTTTGGCTTATTAGGCTTATCAGCCAGCTTTTTTGCCAAACACGTAACTTTTGCTTTCGCGCGCTGAATTGTGTAATAAGCAGAAAAAGTTAGGTTAGAGTTACTTTTCTGGCTGTATTGGCTGAAGTTACTGTAGATGACTATATTAGCTATTTTTACATATAGTTTTTTCCTTATTTTATCAAAGAAAGATATTTTTAAAATATTTTTTTCCTCAGCAGAATCAACCCATGCAGCCACTTCAGCCAGAACTTCATAAATTTCAGCAGAATCAGCCAAAACAACCGATTTCCGTGTTACCAAACGGGCTCTTATTAATAAAGTGGTTGAAAAAGTGAAAATTGTGGTTAGAATTTGATTTTAATTAAGTGAAAGATGTAGACTACATATTGTTTTTTAAAAAAATGTGACATTTATTTTAGGACAACCCAAATATGAATTTAAGACAAGTAAAATGAGATTAGGGGAATATGTAATATACTAGCTAGGCCGTTTGGTAACCGTGTACCAACTTATTAAGATGTTTTTACTGTAATTCGTCCCAGACCAAACCAGACCAGATCAGACTAGACTTGGATATTTATAAAAATACAAAGAAATCAGACCAGACCAGACCAGACCAGACCAAACCAGCAAATTACAATCCAAGTAAAAACATCCTTAGTCTTCTACTATTTTACGAAATACGTAGTACTCCGTATATACCATTTGATTTTGCATTTGATACTGTGTAATAACCAAAACAAGTGACGTTTTAGACTTGTAGTTACTTTTTTTGGTAAATTGATTGAGATTATTATAGAACTTTCTGTACTATTTTAGCTATTTTTCATAAATTTTCTTTATCTGATTAATAAGATATACTTTGAAAGGCACACATAATTTTTTTCATAGTCAATTCAATGGGTTCAATTTGAAATTATCAATTTAGTTGGTTCAGAGCCTGTTTGGTAACACTTAAATCGGCAGATATTTATGAGGTTTTGGCTGAAGTGATTGCATTGACCGATTCTACTGATTTATGAAGAAATTATATTTAAAAATATTTTAGTAGTACAATAAAGAAAAAATAGCTAAAATGCTTCTCTGCAGTAACTTCAGTCAATACAGTCAGAAAAATAATTTCACCACAATCCAGCACGTGAAATAAAAAGTTGGGTGTTTCATAAAAAATGGTTATAAACTAGGGGTGGGCGAATCGGTTTACGGTTCGGTTTTTATCGGTTTCGGTTCGGTTTCGGTTTATTCGGTTTGAGGAAAATAGTACCAAACTCAAACCAAAAGAATTTCGGTTTGGTTTCGGTTCGGTTTGGTTTCGGTTCGGTTTGGTGTTCGGTTTGATGTTCGGTTTATAAACTTGAAAATGATTATGTCTTGTTTCATATGTTACAATCCACTTTGAGTAAATGAGTAATTTTGAATGTTTTGTTTTCATTGAAATTCCAACTAAATGAAATACTAGAACCAGCCTTCACCAAACCAATTGAACAACCTGCCTTCACCTGCTTAAACAACATGCCAATTGAAATTCCAACTAAATGAAATACTAGAACCTAGCTTAAACAACATGCCTTCACCCACTAAACCAATTGAAACAAACTAAACCAAAGACTCACACAGAAATAGAAATAGAAATAGAAATATAAATACAATTTGCTATTGATATCGCCAACCATAATAAATACAAATATGTCGTATTAGCTAACTTTGTCATAATGAATGTTTGAAATGTGTAAAAGTTAAAATAATATGAGTATATGCTTAAATATGCATTTTCATGTCTAAATTTTTTATTTATATCTTAAAATGAAGAGTGAAGATAAATACAAAGTGTGTGTGTGTGTTGTTCGGTTCGGTTCGGTTTTGTTCGGTTTTGTTCGGTTTTTATCGGTTTCGGTTCGGTTCGGTTTAATACGGTTTGAAAGAAATAGTACCAAACTAAAACCAAATTGCATACGGTTCGGTTTCGGTTCGGTTTAGTTCGGTTTGGTACGGTTCGGTTCGGTTAAACCAAACCGTTATGCCCACCCCTATTATAAACTTATGAAACAAAAAGGAGGTAAGTGTTACTTGTCATAAACTCCTGTATAGCCTCTGGGTTCGCTTGGTACAAAGTTAAATACTCCGGATATAAGAAATCTTACAAACAAATTACTCATGACAAACGTGAATTATATGGCGAGAATGTAAAAAAAAAGCAGGAAACGGAGCAGTGTACTTATATAAGTTGAAGCGTTTCGGTTTTGATTAATTCTGAAAAACCCGAGACTCCCTCCGGAGCTGCTACTTCATCTGGTTGTGGACCTGTGGTCGCCTTCAGAGCATCAACTCATAAAGTAAGTTCGGCACCTCAAATCTTCGAATGATTGCATGACGCATTGCTATTTTCACTTTTGAAACTTCGAGATTATCGTGACTTCTGTATCTGCCTAACGGCCTGTCTGGATTGTGTGTTAGCGATTTATAAGGAGGGTTTAGTTTTCTACTTTATACCCAACTTTCTTCCCCATTCTTCTTCCGCAGCAGACAAAGAGCCGGTTCTCCTACTTCACCACTTGCGACTCTTCTTCCAGCAGAGACTGTTCTTCTTTCTCCAGGGTTGTCTTCTCTTTTTCTCGGTTCTTCTATGGACTGTTGTTGAATTTTGGGTCTGTTGTTATGCCGTTCTTCTATTATTTGTCGTTCTGTTGTTAAATTTTGGGTCTTTTCTATAGAATGCATCTGGGTTTCATTTTTGGTGGAATCAATCTCAATTATTGATTTTTTTCATCCCAATTTTAATTATTTGATGTAAGAATAGTTAAAGTTGCATGTTGCGAAATTGAGAAGATGACAGACCTGTGAGTTCCAGATGTTTACCGGGCTCCCTTGATTATTTCATCGATCATGATTTTTAAATTTTAACTATTATTCCATGTTTCCATTCTTGAATTTAACTTCATTTCTTTTTGTTTTGAATACAGTATAACCTATATATATAAATGTATCTGTATACACAAATTAAGTGCATGTATTTTGTAATCTCATCTTATTTATTTATTTATTTATTTATTTATTTATTTATTTATTGATATGTTTTTAATCCATGTGCATTTTTGTCATTATATTTTTTTTATTAAGGATGACCGGTAGAACAATCTCATTTAGCTATAGCGAAAGTTATATGCTCATATTTTTTGAGTCCGATATATTTCACAATTTCGAAGGAATCATAATTTAGAGTTGAAATTGAGAGTGTGACATAGAAAAATAAATCAAAAAGTTGGGGGTTTAGTTTAGTGTGTAGTCTCGATCCATATATTTTTTAGCACTTAGAATATGTATATATACCATACATAGAATATTTTAATATTAGCAATTTAATTTCAATTTATTAGCACTCTAATTTTAATACGTAGAATATTTTGATATGTAGTATACTTTCTAGCACTTCAATTTTAATTTTTAGCACTTTACGTAAAATATTTTTTCAGGTCAATGTGGCGCAACACCTACAATTATTAATATCACCATGTATTTGATAGTAAACATCAAGTAACGCATATACCATTACATGCAATTATGGGTACTTAAAAATATTTTAAAAAGTATGAGGATATTTTTGTCAATTTAAGTGGAAACACTTCCATTACTAACATCTCAAGGTAAGATTATGTGTAACACTTACACTTACCTTCCCTTCCGGGCCCCTGCCAACACTTACGGCTTGTTTGGATCGGGTGTCAAGCGGTCTGGAGGACTGGTTGGGCTGGTCGAAGGGTTTATATTGTTAAAGTTTTTCCTTTTAATCCGATGAAACCTTCGGTCAATATGGACAGGTTAACAAGTAAGCTAATTGAAATGGAAGAAGTTTGTGTTTCTATATCTGCTAAAATGGGTAAATGAAATTGGCATTCCTGCTCTGGAGTAGTATGTAAATAACTATTAACATGGACTGATAACCTTTTGTATTTTCATAATAATAACATGGATATTGGATAACCTGGGTTTCCATATGGATAACCTTTTTATACATATACAATCTATACATATGTACACCTATGAAGTACTCCCTCCGTCCCAAAATGGTTGGCGAAATTTCCTTTTTTGGCCGTCCCAAAAAGGTTGGCCATTTCCATTTAAAGTAAGGAATATGTGGCTAAAGTTAATTCTCTCTCCTCTGCACAAATTTCAACCATACAGTTTTTACTTTATTAATCCACGTGCAAGTCAATATTGGCCAACCATTTTGGGACGGAGGGAGTATAAGGTTATTTTAGTCAATTCAACAAAAACACTTCCTTTAATAACACTTCATTTTTTTTACCCTCCCAAACAAGGTAAGTTTACATTTTACACCTACACTTACCATCCCTTCCTTTACCATCCCAACACTTTCTAACACTTCCATTACTAACTCTTCCCAACACTCCATCCAAACAGGCCGTTACTAACATTTCCATTACTAACACCTCCCAACACTCCATCCAAACAGGCCGTAAGAGATGAACCCCATTTTGGTTCAGATATAAAGCTTATACCTTGTTCTGGTTTTCTTCTTAGAAATTAAGACACCAAAGTCAAAATTGTTCTACATTACAGTTCACTGTTCCCAAAAATTATATTCAGGATATGAGTTTCTCTGACCTTTTAAAGTTTGAGATTTTTATGGATTTTAATATTATTCTGAGATTGGGGATTACAGTGCTCCTAATAGTTTCATGACCAAGTTTTTGTGTTAATACTATAGTTTGTCTGGGGCCTCAAGTTTCCTAGAGACGGTCGTAACTTGTAAGATACCATTGTTGAATGCAGAGTAGGAAGTAGCTGAATAAAGCTATATAACACATGCAACTTTATCTTAATGTATATGCTGTATGAAAAATCAGATGTGGTTTAGGATTACATTTCTATTTGTATTACTACTTTAAATGGTGTTTACTTTGAGTAGAAGGGCTTGATCTTAACGTTCGTGAGATTTTTTTTTTGCAGAGATGACTGCTTGTATCGAGTGTCAACAGAATTGTCTATGTATTCATGGCCAACACAGTTCAAGTACGGCTATCACTTCTTTCTTCAAAGTCATGATCAGCAATGACTTCTTGGAAACTCTGGTATCTTCAAATGACCCAATTACTTCCTTTCCATTTTCACCCACAAAGAACTGAAGAAGTATTTTAACACTCAAGTTCTTGCTGTAAATAAATAGTTTTATGCTCTTAAGATATTTTTAAATTTTCTGGACCTATTTACAGTAGAACTATAACTATATAACTAGAAATAGACTAGAAACACACTACATATATAATATACTAAGTTAAAATATGTATGCTGTAATTAAACTAACCATTAAAATGACTTATATGGTTTGAAGATCGTTTGGACCTATTTCTAGGAGTCATTCAAGCTGCATTTTAACACTCGGAGTTTAGTTGGTCTGCGGATTTATGTGTTGAGGGGATGAAAGGATTGATTTTTGTTTACCAATCGCTATTTGTTAGTGTTTGAGTTTGACTAGAAAATAACTACTCCCTCCGTATTTTAAAGATTGGTGCATATGGCTATATTTTCCATCATTTGCAATGGAGCCAAAGATTCATTATTTTTTGGCTTGAGAATATGATGGAATAAAGCAAAATGGCTCACTAAACTGTCTGCGCTTCTTTGTTATGAAGCAACAATCAGTCCATGCAATTTTGGACGCAATTTTCACTACGGGTCATCCGGAAATAGTCTCTCTGTGCTTTAGTACAGGGGTAAGACTGCATACATCCGACCCCCCTTACCCCACCGTAGGTGGGAGCCTTTGCGGCACTGGGGTAAATGAAAATGAAAAAATGGTGCATATGGCTATAGAACATTGTTTAAGGAGAAAAGTAGTAGGGGTAATGAATAGTGTAAAAAAATATGAGAGGGTGTAAAAGTGTGAAAGAGAAGATAAAAAGTAGAAAAAGTGAGGGTAATGGAGTATTTTTTAAGGGAAAACTTACTAAAAGGGAAAAGTGTGGCAAACTTTTAAATACATCCCGATTTGGAAGAACTATATATTTAGTGAAATTATGCATTTGAATATAATTTCTCACCTTCACTTTCTTTCCAAAAATCTATATTTAATACTCTAATAAAAACCATCTATATGCAATACATTAATAAAATAATATCACCTTCAACCTTCCCTCCATCTAAAATCTCCCAACTGAACAAGGTCTTACTCAAGCTGCCACTTAATACCCTTTGCAGTATCTGCCTCCTAAATTTGCCCGAGCTACATCCTGTTTGACTGATCAAGAAATCTATCTTGAAGACTCTGTTGGAGTTAAATCAAAAGCTATGGTTTCAAAATGTAATGGCTCACTGGCTATCCATCAGGGATGGCACCAATTCTCATTGAACCATAACATCGAGAAGGGGGACTTTTTGTTGTTCTATTTCTTCACAAGGCCAGCAAAGCACTTTGTCGTTCACATATATGGACGGAATGCTTGTCCCAAAACCAATTTTGATGCGCCATTGACAGACAGAAGTAACAGAAGGGAAAGAACTGTCAATTGCTCACTGGGACGAGGCAAGGTTGGGGGCACACATGTGGATTCAGTGAACGAAGAAAGTCCTGGTGCTTTGGGTAACAAACATTGCCAGCCATTAGCAATATCATGTGCTCCAATCATTGATGGAGGTCATAATGTCAAAGAATCTTGTCCACCTGTGGATTTGAAAGAGCCATTTCATATGACTGAGCAAGAGACTGAATGCAGACAGACAGGAAATATAGACCACAATGACCTGTTGCAATTTGAAATGCTGGAAACAAGGATTGCAGGGGAAAATGACACTTGCTTGAAGGTTGTAAACGTACATTCCGGTCCAGGTCAGCAAGACATGCAGCGGGAAACAGATGCAAGCTCTATGAATGGTGTCGTTTTCATCCCAGCTAAGACAGAACCAAATGACCCACCAAGCAGTTTTACAACAACCAGAAATGAACTCCATAAAAAATCTCAATTTGGTAACTCTTCCTCAAGTTTTCTGAAGTCTTAGAGTTAATTACATCTAGCTTCTTCGGGGTTAGCTCGAATTAACAAATGATCCTCAAGGTTTCTGAAAATTGCAAATAAATCCCTCAACCAGTCACTGTTTCTTTCAAATGAGTGGAAGTTTTATGTTATAATGACATTAGTAGGAGTTCAGTTTTTTTTCCAAGATTATATTTCCCTCAATATTTACCCCAAAGATTCCTTTTAAAGAAGGCTTTAAATCTTGTACTTAATAAAATACATTAAAATAACAACATATTCAATTTGGTAATTTGAGCTATGAGCTTTTTTTAATAGATCTAACGGTCGTAACTTGTAAGATACCATAGTTGGTAATTTGAGCTATGAGCTATCCTAATGGGAAGTAGATCTGATTATCCAATGTTTTTTATTGCGTAGATGGACAAAGTAGTTGTCTTAAAACCAACTCTGATGCACCACCCACAGACAGAAGTAACAAAAGGGCGCGAACTGACAATAGCTCACTAGGACGAGGAGAGGTTGGGGGCATACATGTGACTTCAGTGAACAAAGAAAGTCCCGGTCCAGAAAACAATAATTGCCAGTCATTGGCAATAGTATGTGAGCAGATCAGTGATGAAATCCATAAAGAGAAAAAATCTTGTCCACCTTCTATGGATTTGGAAGAATCGTTTTATATGACTGAACAAGAAACTGAATGCAGACAAGAAAGAAATAGAGACCGGAAGAACCTGTCACGATTTGAAATGTTGGAAACACGGACCACATGTGGAAATAACTATGGCTTAAAGGGTAAAGGTGTACCTTCCGATCTTATTCAGCAAGAAATGCAGTTGGAAAAGGATGCAAGTTCTAGAAATGGTAATGTTTTCATCCCAACCAAGAAAGAACCAAGTGATCCTCCGAGCAGCTTTGATCCTCCAAGCAGCTTTACAATGCCAAAAAATGAACGACGTAGAAAATATCAAATTGGTAATATCTTCCTCATTCAATCACTCACATTTGATAGTTTGTGTCCCTTGGTTTTTTATTGAATGTTTCATCATTTTTTAATACTTAACCATTGTTTTCAGGGTTAATTGCATATATTTTCCCCGAGGTTAGGTCAAATTAACAAATGACCCTCAAGGTTCCTGAAAGTCGCAAATAAGTCCCTTAACTGGTACTTTTTGCAAATAATCTGAAAGATGATATGTTATAACTTATAATGACATTAGTAGGAACTAAGTTTATTTTTTCAATCTGTATTACCCTCAATATTTGTCCCAAAGATTCTTTTTGAGAGTAAGGTTTAAATAATTTACTGGATAAAATTCATAAAAAAGTAACAATTCAATCTGAAGATGCACAGTTCTTTTTTATATTATTATATTCTATAATCAATCCCAAAGATGCAGTAAGTTTCTGAAACATCAAGGGTGGTTTGGTAATTTGATCTAACCTCACGGGAAGTAGATATAGTTAGCTCTAATTTGGTTTTCTCTCTCTATAAATACTATCACATTTCCATTGATACATCGAACAGATAGGAAAATGAAATCACAAGAGAAGGAACCAATGCAAACGAGATCACAAGGTGCAATGCTATCAAGATCAAAAGTGGCAGCGAGCAGGCTTGCTGAAAGGGAGAATGTTTTCTATTTAGGAGAATCCTTTCGCGGAGCGTCAGAAAGTATTGTGCTACACGCTACTTAACTTAAAAATGGTCCCTTGCACGGATTTGTTGCACCAGCAGTGTTGAAGTGCCCAGAGCACAATGTGCTGGAGCATTTTGACATTGTTGATCTCTTATGCACAATTACATTGTTAGAAAGTATTTTTTTACTTCATTCCTCTTTATAATGCCTAACGCTAAATAACTTCTGTTTGGTGCTTGTGATTTTTTCCTCCTTGGTAGGTGAAAAACCCATAGTAATTAAGGAGGAACTAATAGAATTTTTATCAGAAGGTATGAGCAAACCAGAATGGTTATTTATATTCTTTATATTTCAGTTGCCCTTATGGGAAGTACACATTCATGCGTTTTTGCTTGATGTGGCTTTATTTACATTATATTGCAATCTAAAAAATATTATACATGTTTCACTGTGGGAAGACACGGGCAAAAATCTGAACACGACAAACAGCTACAGTAAAACATTAAAAAGGGAACCTGTGGATGAAGAAGATATTCCAGCATCTGTTGCAGTCTCTAGAGATTCGTATTTGGTGCTGGTTGGCAGCCCTGATTTTCTTGTACGTTTCTTGTTGAAGTATCTTTCTTTCTATGAATTGTGGACTTGTTCTGCTTTGACATTTTCTCATTGTATTTATCATCTCTTGTGGTGCATACTCAAGAGTCTATGCTTGTGTAGTTTTAGCCCTTGTGTGATGGTCAGAGGGCTTTGGAGAGGAAGAGAGGAAATCTTGAGTGTCGTCTGTTTGGTTGGGGAATGAGGAGGGTGGTGGTGGGTGAGCTACAGGCTCCTCCAAACTTTTCATATTTAACTCTTCATATTTCTTGATTTCTTCTCCACCTTCTTTAATCAAATTTGTTCTGCAATGTCATTGGTATACATATAGGTTAATACTCCCTCTGCTGCACATTTTTTTTCCAAATTTCCTTATTTAGCCGTTACAAAAACTTTGGCATTTCCATTTAAAACAACAAATGTGTGGTTAAATTATTTCTCTCTTATGCATAAACTTCAACCACACAGTTTTTACTTTATTATTCTGTGTAAGTCAAATTTGGCCAAGTTTTGTGGGACAGAAACTATATTATTTTTTACACTTGGTATATGAGTTTCATTGGATTGAACGTTTAATTCAATAGTCAGCCAATGTTTTTAATAAAATGACACCGTTTTACAATGCAGGAATTACCAGACTGTTGGCCGAAAACTGAAAGGAAAGAAAATGAGATCATATTTCTTAGAGACTCAGCAAAGAGAGTTTGGCCAGTTATGTTATGTAGGAGGAAGCATTTTACTGTTTTGACAAATGGTTGGAAAGAGTTCAAAGCTGCTAATGAGCTTAGACCAGAAGACAGTTGCCTTTTCAATCCCAAAATGAGGAATGAGTACAGCATTGATATTAGACGTAAGGAGGATGCCAAAGGAACCATTGCCCCAGAATTTGACCTCAGGGCAAGCACCTCCAGGCATAGTGCATTCTCTCCCCGCAGCTAATAGGCCCACACCGAAGTACGGTTTGATGTACTAACCCTCCTGATTAAAAGGGTGATGAAGTTCCAACATGCTATCTTGTCTATAAGATTAATCAAATCAGAAAAAGTGGTTCAGAGTGTATCAAATGTTCGAATTTGTGAAGTGTTTGCCGTTGCTGACTGGTATTTCATTTTTTTTTGAGGGAATGACTGGTATTTCCTTGCTTTTAGATTTTTCTTCATATTCATGTGTTTTGTTATTCTGGTCATTGCTTCTTTTTCTTCACCATTCTAATTATGTGTTGATTCTTAGTAGGGATGACAATTGTGACCGATCTGATGGATACCCGCACCAAACCGCCCCGGTAAAAATGGGGAAAACCGCATTGACCGGGTAATGGGTACGGGGCGGGGAGTAGCCGTTTTGTTTTTACGGGTAACGAGGTGGTTACGGTTTTAAAGATGCCCGCCCCGTACCCGCACCATACCCGCCCCGTACCCGCCCCGTACTTGCCCCGTACCCGCCCCGTACCTGTTCCGTTTATTTTTTAGTCACATTTTTATTATGTTCTTATCTGTTACTCCGTATTTGTCTCACAACTACTAAAATATGATATTTTCTTATTTTCATTGTGTATATATGAAGATAATATATGTACTAACTATAGTGTATGAATGAAAATTCATAATAATAGATCCTAATAGTCAACTTTTTGCGATTAATTATTTTTCAGATTAAGTATTTATAGTTTCAAATTAATTTAGGTTCTCTTCTTTCTCGTTTTGTAGATATACGAAACTTTAAATTGACAATCTGAGTCTAAAATCGCCTAGGTGATGCAATTTTTCCCCTTTTAAAATATTATTTTTATATTAAAATATCAATGACTCGTTTAATAAGGCGACTACTCACAGTTAGCTGCGATTATAACCGTTAGGGTGACTAACTGACTATTCAACACAACCCTACAACCGGTTGGTTGTAACTTGTTAAATAAATGAAGAAATTGTAGGAATTATTCATTCTTATTTTAGTAGTCTTTTTGTTTGCGTCTTTTTTTCATTCTCATTTTAGTGGTATCTTAAATCTTAATAGTGTCTTATATTTCATAAACGAATGACTCAATGAAGTGTTGTACACTAATTATTTTTGGATCCACCGATTTTTAAAAGTACTCCGTATTAAATTTAAGATGTCATGGTTAATTTTTTACATCTTTTAGTTGTTTTCTTCAAAAATAGGTCTGAGGTAACAAAATGATTATAATCCAAATTTATGTACTTTTTAAAATGTTTTCTTTTTTAATCATAATTATTATATTGTTTGCAAAAAGAATTAGCACAAAAATGATACGGAGTATATAATAATAAAGGTGAGGATTTTAAATAAAAACAGTGTTGAGTGAATATGCCGATGATGTTTGATAGGAATTGATTAAGAGCTCGTTTGGTTACACTCAAATTAGTTGATTTTGTTTGTTTTTGAAAAAAAAAATATTTAAAATATATTTTATTGATAAAATAACGAAAAAATTATATTAAAAATAGTTAAAATGGTCAACTATAGTAACTTCAGCCAATATGTAACTTCAACCTTACTTTTTCTTATTAGGAAAAATTGATAGTAATAATCCCAACTATTGGCGGTCCGCTCATAATAATCCCAACTATTGATTAATACAGAATAATCCTAACTTTAGGGACCTTCCGCCAATAATGGTTCCTATGAATAAATTCTTGTAGTTTCTAAAGTGGATGAGATGAGATATAGCAAAAAATCCTTATAAATAATCTCAACTTTTAATTTTTACGCTTAATTTCTATTTAAAATTCACTTTTTATAGAGGTAATATATGGTCATGGACCATTATTGGCGGATAGTCTATATAGTTGGGATTATACAAAAATAATCAATAGTTGGGATTATTTTCAGCGGACCAACAATAGTTGGGATTATTATTTTCAACTTTTCCTTCTTATTATTACACAATTCAGCGCGTGAAATTAAAAGTCACGTGTTTGGTTAAAAAGTTGGTTGATAAGCCGGAAAACAGATTTACCAAAGGGACTCTAAGAGCCCGTTTGGAGAACTCTGTTTTCGGCTTATCAGGCTTATCAGCCAGCTTTTTCACCAAACACGTAACTTTTACTTTCGCGCGCTGAATTGTGTAATAAGCCGAAAAAGTAAGGTTGGAGTTACTTTTCTGGCTGTATTGGCTGAAGTTACTGTAGAGGACCATTTTAGCTATTTTTACATATAATTTTTTCTTTAATTTATTAATAAAATATATTTTTAAAATATTTTTTTCTTAAATCAGCAGAATCAGCCAAAACAGCCACTCCAGCCAGAATATCATAAATTTCAGCAGAATCAGCCAAAACAGCCGATTTTGGTGCTACCAAACGGGCTCTAAGTAAACATCAGTTTTTTTGTAGTTGGATTGCAAGCAAAAACATGATTGACAAAATAAATATCAAAATTTCCTAAAAATTGATGTGGGATTTAGTTTATTCACCCACCTTGTTGCAGGATGATTGAACTCAAGAGTTATCACAAGTAAAAATAAATAAAATGTAGGAAGTGATCCATCCACAAGCAACCGTACTATTTGGTCTCTATCTCTTGAAGTGGTAAGTTGAAAGAAAGTGGTTCGATCGAATTCCCAGGGTAGCTTCTCCTTCCCCTTACCATTTTGCAACCAAAACAAAAGGCAGGCAAAGTTTCAAGCTTTGAAGGGGCAGGGGAAGTTTCCTGAAGAAGAGATTGTATTCTTGCAAGAAATGAGACAAAAAAGAGTGAGTACTTGTGTACGGTCCTCCCAGTACGGTTAAGGAATGGAGAAGGGCTAGGTACAGTTCATAGTTTGATCCTCAAGAGTGAATGAGACGTACGGTCGGTCGGAAGGTTTTAAGCTAGGCTGGGGGAATCTTCTTGTGAAACAACCTAGGAGACAGTGGGCAGAAGTTTGTACAGCTCCAATGTCTCCCACCTAGCTACGTGATTCAGCTGGATCCATTGCTTATGATTTGCCTTGCCATAATATGGTTGGGTTCCGAACTCCCTTCTACAATTGGGTACTTTTTGTTTTGAGAAAATGACTTTAATGAAGTTTCTCCATTTTTTTTTTTGCTTCGAAAAGAAATTTTATGGAGTATTAAAAATCAAAGGAAAGTACAAGCGTTAATGTAATATAAACGCTAATGAGGGGAGAAAATTAAAGGAATTTTTAAGATTAAAGAAAGTCTTCATTTTTCGAATTTCTGGCCTTGTGCTTCTTCTAGAAATCTTAAAGTGGTTTCACGATGGATTCCATGCGCGATCATATAATTCTTGGTCCGATAAACTTGTCCAGAAACGCATGTACAGTATTTAATTTCTTCTTCTAAAGATTCTAAACCGGAAAGGGGTTGAGTCTAAATATGCTTGAAATTCAGCCTCTCGCTTGAGTCTACAAACTTGGAAGTAGCATCATTTTGGAGAGTCGTTTCCTTGATTGTGCTTTTACCCTTAACAATGCAAGCAAAACTCTCCATAGAATGAACTTCATCATCCAAAGTTGAAAATGACACACAACCATGAATATCCCGGCCTGGAATGCCTGCAAATCTGATTGTAAAAGAGGCGGGAGTGGGGAAAGGGTGCATGTCAGTGGACCATGGTGTGTGTGTGAGTGAGAGCGGTGTAGGGAAGGTAGAGTGTGGAGGGGAGGTGATGGGCTAGTGAGGGCAATGAGAGGGTTGGTCGCAGGGCGGAGGCAGAGCACTGAGCTAATCCATTCACCTAGAAAAGTAACTTCAAATTGTACATATTATTATTATTATTATTATTATTATTATTATTATTATTATTATTATTATTATTATTATTATTATTATTATTATTATTATTATTATTATTATTATTATTATTATTATTATTATTATTATTATTATTATTATTATTATTATTATTATTATTATTATTATTATTATTATTATTATTATTATTATTATTATTATTATTATTATTATTATTATTATTATTATTATTATTATTATTATTATTATTATACAGTCGATTAACAGATGAAATTAAAAATCATGTGTTTGATAAGAAAATTGACTGATATGAAAGATCAAATAAGAGTAATTAAACGGGCTTTTACTGTAAGCTAGGCTTCTTTCCAAATGAAATGTAGATATTTATCCATTTGGTGAGCGGATACAAAGACATAAATTTTCAATCTTGAGGTGTAATTTTTTTTGGAAGATATAAGCTTAAATTGATAACACGTCATTCAGATAGTAGGCAATCCAACAAAAAGAATCCTGACAACTGCCGTCCCTCGAACCAACTCAGAGTTAATCACCTCAACAGAAGCAATATAACTCGCTGATCCCTTAACGGGCACAACAAAGCCAAAGACGATCACCCCATTCCTTCTATCACCCACATCCAAATCCACAGTCTTACAACAAAGGAAAATAAAAAAGCGAAAAGCACAACAAGAAGCATTGTCTCGAAAAATAATAATAAAACAAAAAGCTTAGAAATTTTGTCACAGCAACCCGAACAGCAACACATCCCATGTCCCGCGCCTCGAACCTGACTGAATCAATTAAGGTGAGCTTAGTGAACGAAGCCCGCCCCCTCCCCGTTTTTTGCACTGTCCATCTCCATACTTTCCCCCACTTGCTTGTTGTCTTCCCGGGCTTCCCAATTAAATGAGTCTTCTTTTCTGTTCTCCGATACCACTTCATTGTCTCACCCTCCACTCCCTAGGCAGTACTTTGCGCTGTCTCTGATATAGATTCCTTTCTGCCTCCTCGCATCCTGCCATCTGAATTGTTGTCGTCCCTGTTTTTACGATCCCTGCCAAAGCGAGACGACCCATCCACCAGCCATTTATTCGCCCTTGTAGGACTTGTCTTCACCCCACTACCTGCTTTAAGATAGACTTCAAACTTCTTCTCTAGCACCACATTCTCTTCATACATCAGGGAATAAAATTTGTCTGAGTGTCCTATCAACCCACATACAAAACAGAAATTGGGCAACTTTTCATACTTTAAGTCTACCCGGTGACTCCTCCCTTCTTTCTTCAGATTTGTCCCCTTTTCAAAGGTTTTTCCACATTCATACAAACCCTGACTCTCATATATATAGGATTCCCACTTCTCACTATATTGATTGTCATCATATCTGATAAATTTCTGATATAGTTACCAACATGCCTCTCAGTTCCTAAGTTCACCAGACTGTACGGAACATTGTGAACTTGTACCAAGAATTTAGCCTCACTTAAACATATTTTATGTGGTATATCATCAGGT